CTCATAGTGCATTTCACCAACGTTTCTGATCCAAGTAGCCATGACTAGGGCATGTTTTTCTTTGCCATACTAACTTATAATATTGAAAATGTTACCCCCAGCAAAATACCTCCATTAATCAATTCATATCTCACAGTGCATTTCAACAATGTTTCTGATCCAAGTAGCCATGACTTGGGTATGTTTTTCTTTGCCATACTGGTACTTAGAAACAGTGCGCACAACTCAAAATCTCAAGATAATGTTGGGTGCACAGTTGCGATAAGGACTAAACAAACAAACAAACATACAAACAAAACAACGGCACTCACTGATCCATCTTCTTTTGTATTTTAATTGTGGACAGGAAACGAACGCCTTTCAGCATAAAGCCAACATCAGCCATCTTCACCATACTAACTTATAACACTGGTAACGTTACCCCTGGCAAAAATACATCCACCAATCAATTCATGCTCTGCTTTATAACAGCAGCAGTTATGTCAAAAGGGACTAATACACCTATTTGGAAATTAATACATCCACAAAGTAGATTTGACTCTTGTTTCTGACCACAAGTAGGTGCAACAGGTGAGGTTGTCAGGGCGAATTTAGTGATGTGGGAGTCCAGGGCAAACTTTGCCTTACTTTACTCTTCACCCTTTCTCTAACAGGGAACGTTGGTAAGTTATTGGCAGTGGTAGAGGAAAAAACTATTAGTACCACACAGCAAAAGTCTATATTAGAATTTTTAGTCAATTTTCTGAGTGCAATGTTTTCCTCTGAATTGGAAGTACAAGCACACAGTAAGTACCATTAAGTTGTGTAATTCTGAAGTGCTACAAGGGCCTTTTTTTTAGTTTATTTAAGGGACAATGAGATAGAATAGCAACATATCTAAAGATCATAATAAATCTAGAGCTTCTTTGGGCGTCCAGACGTATTGGTCAGAACCAAGGGACGTGCAGTGCTGAGAGTGAAGTTGTTTGAGCTGTTCTTAAGAAAGCTGCAAGCAAAAATAACACAGCACTTCAGCTGTAATGAACAGGCATGTTTTGAAAGGGCACTAGTGTTAAATTAAGGGAGAAAGTTTAGTGGGGAGGGGTCTAGGGAGAAAGGGGGGAGGTCACACTACTGAAGAGCCTCACACACTTACCATTCCTGGTGGATAAACTTGATACTGCCAGTGCAGACACAAGGGTGGTACAAGGGTTTGTCTGGGGTCCCCTCAGAGCGGCACACACGACAAATATCCGCTGCAGACACAAACAAACACACACATTATATGTATGCTAGCATATGGTAGAAAGGCAAAGCAAACAACTCAGAGATATGTAGACAGAGTAGGATACAGAGAGTAGGAGACACAAGGGGGACTGGGTGTGTTGTGGCAAGTTTCTTAGGGTATGAGAACACCAAAAGTAGTTAATGCAAGACACTTAGACAAGCAGGATGCATCAATCTAAGTGAGTTACACTGGTTAAGCATAGGTCATACATCATGAGACTGGTGACATTACCAATAACCTCTGGACCTCTCTACGCTCCCTTATATTACACTGCTGCTTCCCCTGATCTTACATTAAGCTCAGCTGCATTAAAATAACATTTAGCAATAATTTCCCATCTTCCTGCATTAACCTAACGTTACATTAACAGGCTATTAAGCTATGCTACTCAGCTAAGTTAACCACTAGCAGGCCAGCCCAGCAGCAGGTTCGCAGTGATGCACTTGCGAAGCTAACGCTAGTTCACCCCAGCTGAGAAGCGACGACAAGCTACGTCTCTAGTTATTTTAGTTATTTACCTTCTTCGGCAGTATCCATGTTGTTCGCTAAGCACCGGTCACCGTTTCTTCCAGGAGCAATTTGTACAGCGAACCCATCCACGACACAGACAATATCGTTTAGCTAGCTAAATTAAGCTAGCGAGACGAGTGTATCCTTATTTGTCGGATGCATTGACAGTCATAAAATGGTTTCCCCACGGACTTGAACACCAGAGCTAGCTCCGTTGTGTCCTCTCACATCCAGTCTGTGTCCGCCGCTCAACGAGATGTTTAATTTTCACGGTGTTTTTTTCTTTTCAATGTAAAATAACGTTACATCCTCCGTTTTGCTGAAATGACAGTTTAAACATGGGAGACAAATGGCTAGCTGAGCTGGCTAACGCATGCGCTAACGTCACTGCTGCCTGCTCCTGTCACAACAGTTTGACTTTACGACAGCGGCTCAGGTTTGACGGCAGGGACACTTCCATAACAACCGTCACGTGGTTACTGAAATGCAAGCCATATTATATCTATAATTATAATACCACTTCAGCCTCGCTTCTAAACACAAATAAAATGTTGTTTGAGCCTACATTACATAAAGTTCAACTTAATTTCATCGACGTGACTGTGTGATAGCTGCAGACACTGAGTATCAAATATCAAACCATGTTGCACAGCGACATCTGCAGGATGTTACTTTAACCAACAACTTTTATATAACAAGTTGCACCTTTGCACTTTACAGAGTGGTTTGGAATCAGATCCAGCTTGTTGGAAATATCTTACTTTGGTATTTAATAGCAAAACAACTCATCAAGTGTCAATCCTCCATTTTGAAACTTGGAAGGTTGATGGTATGTGTGTATATAAGTAAAACACATTAAAATAACACACATACAAAAGCCTATAAACACAGATTAAAGCGGATTAATGGCATGTCCATAAAGGGCACATAAGCACAGAGCAAGCATGCAACTATAGACAAAAGCACATAGCAAGGCACATAAACAAAAACAACAAGACATAGGCATTATTAATAAAACAATGATATAACCAGTTAACCAAAAACATGTGACTTAAATTGTTACAAACTGCCACCGTATTTTACTTGCGTTTAATCACTACATGTGCAGTTTTTGATGAAGAAAAATTGATCATATTAAGTCAATAGTTTCCCCGCTTTTTGTTTCAATATTCATATATTGTTTATATTTTTATATTTCTAAGTGATGTGTTTCAGCAGCCCAAAGAAAAGCCTGCTGTATCAAATTGAACTGGATATTTTACAATAACCAAGATAGCGACAGAGACAAGGACGGACAGCAGATCAGCATGAGCCTGGCATGGAAAACTGCTTTACGCAATTTTACCGTAACACTTATTAGTCATTGAACAGTGATAACGTAATCGTGACATGTCGCTTGGCATGATTTCGTACTGTGCTACCAAGCGGGTACAGCAGTGGCGCCGTGGCTTAGTTGGTTAAAGCGCCTGTCTAGTAAACAGGAGATCCTGGGTTCGAATCCCAGCGGTGCCTTTTGAGAGGCATGCCATGGTGGTGCATACAGATTTACTATATGAAGTTAAGCGACCAGCAAAAACTCAAGGTGTATTTCCTTGTGCTTGTTTGACACCAGCAAACATTGCTAGAAGTCCTTGCCAGAGGCAACTAAGAGTACTACAAGGGAAGCCTCTGTCTCGATTGCCAGAGTTAACTGTAAAGAGGGATTTATACTTTTACGGCACAGCCTTTGCTGTTGTGAACAATTATACTTGTGTGGTTTTGTGTCTGTGTCACTCTACAGCTTCACCTTCAAAACACGAGTCAGAGGTGGAGGTTGCTGTGAAGTGCTGTAAAGTTTATTTGATTTAAAACACACCCCAAACACACATTAAACACACATTAAACATGGCTTAATAACAACACAAGTACACAAATGAGCTTCACTATAACTCGCAACATTCACAGACAAACACTTGTCTTTATCTGGACACATTTTCCCCACAAATACATCATGTTAATGTTTTTAGCACAAGTCTATGGCAATTTACATTGTATAAATTAGCCTAGCAGCTAGCAGACTTTTTCTTTATTCATATGAAGCCAGGGACAACAGCAACATTTAACAAAAGTAACGGCACCAAATTTGGCTCCATTACAACTCACAAGATTAACCAACAAAAACAACTGTCTTATACTAAACATGTTTTCCAAACAAATATAACATGCTAATGTTATTAGCACAAGCCTATGGCATTCTACATTGTGTAAATTAGCCTAGCGACGAGCGAAGATTTCCTCTGCTCATATGAAGCCAGGATAAATCACACACAAGACTTAAAATGCTACTTTTGTGGAGGCTTTATTGTCTTCACAATTTATTTTTTCTTATCTATGAAATTAAAGTAAATAAAGAAGAAAGAGGCAGGAGGTCTGCATCACCTTGGTGCGTAGTTACATTTTTGGGGAGGTGCACGTCAGGCTGCATAGGGTACAGCACCTATGTCGGCTCTACGTCGACACAGAGCCTATGCCATAGGTATGGCGTCAATTAGATGTTTTGAAGGGGTAATTGCAGAGTGACGCCGACACACCACAGCACAAGTATAAACGCTCACAATGGTGTTAGGGCGTAGGCTATAGCGTAGGGTCTGCAGCACAAGTATAAATCCCCCTTTAGACTAGTCATCTAGTGGGCTGGATTGGACTCTGACGGGCTGGTTCTGGTCCATGGGTCATATGTTTGACACCCCTGATCTAAAATGTATATACACTGCAGTGTTCAAGATAAAGACCAGAGCAAAAATATCTCAATTACTAGCTTGCTACTGTTCAGCATTTAATTTGTTCACCATTTTAGGTCCCAAAACTCTTATTATACCACAGTGCTATTGGTTATGGATTTGATTGTTTTCTTGTTTGCTGTAAAAGGAATCAGTCAATGCCAGATTAATCAATCAATCAATCAATCAATTTTAATTTCAATGTTTTCATGGCTTTTTCTGGTTGGGTTGACAGAAGGAACTTGAGGCTACCACAGAAATTTTATATTTTGACCATATACTTTTTTCACTATTATTATCAGCTATAGCAACGTAATTGAAAAAGACAGTACTGACATTTTATTTTAGTATAAATTCCACCTGTCAAGTGCTCTTTGTATGTTATATTTAGAAATATGGACTCATACAGCTTTTATTTTGAAGGTCACTGCAGGAATGGTATTCTGTGATTGATCTAACTTGACTTTGGTCACACCAGCATTACGATCATCGACTCTGGCTGCGCAACTTTTTTAACCTCGCGAACGACTTCAGATTGTTTCCTCTTTCACCGCTAAATCTGACAGCAACACGGTAGGTGTCTGATCCATGCAAACTGATTTATACATGCATATCTAATGTTGACATTCATTTGTTTGAGGCTAGGAAGATATAGTGGAAAAGGTTTGAGGTGCAAAATGCTTTGTCATTGTGTCATTGAATGCTTATGTAATCAGGTTGAAATCAGTGGCGCCCCCAGAAAGTTTTCACAGCGGTGGCCAGATGGGATCACTGAAAACTTGGTGTGACAAACCAAAAGCAGAAGCCAGTTGAATTTCATGAATGATATTATGCTGTTTCTACTATATAGACTGGTTGAAAACTATGTCTGTATGAGAGTTAAGGAATCACATACTCATATACTTTGGTGTCTTATTATCTTAAAAATATTTTAGATAATTAAGATAAAAGAAACATATCACATTTTTTCACATTTCACAGAAATGTAATTTATTTATTTTTGTAACATGTCCTTTGTAGTTGACACCAAGTCAATCTTAAAAAAAGAATATTACATTACATTTACATTAAATTTATGTCCAATAAATTTATTTTTAAAGGTATTTTGCTTGCTTTTAACTGCTTATACATAGTGTATGTGTGTGTGTGTGTGTGTGTGTGTGTGTGTGTGTTTAAAAGACAAATAATCACACATCTTTTTTTTTTTCCAAGATAATTTTCAACGAAATCTTTTATGACTCTCTCAGCGCTGTTTTCTGAAGTATGGAAAATGAAAAGGCCCAAGGCCCTCTGTCCCTGAAAGAGGACATGGCTTAAAATGTTTATTTTGAAAGGCATAGAATTAACATACACTTCTAAAATCTTATTTAGTGCCATAAACATGTTTGCTGCATTCCCCCTTTTGAAACAAACACTGACCGGGAAAAAGCCTGCTCCAGTTTAAAAACCACCACACAGAGGCCTCCTATATTATACATATGTGGCTGGTTTAAGTAACTCCCAGTGACTTCCAGGTCCAAGCACATGAGAGAAACAATATTTTCAGTGATGCAGCCTCTTATTCCCTCTCCTTCTGTCACCAGATGGCAAATGAAGCCAAGCCATGCCCCTGTGATATCGGTGATCGGATGGAGTATGGAGGGCTCGGCCAGGAGGTCCAGATAGAGCACACCAACGCGTATGTGGTGAAACCATCTGCTGCATCTGACAAGGCCATCATTGTCATACAGGACATCTACGGGTGGCAGCTTCCCAACACAAGATACATGGCTGACATGCTGGCTACCAATGGATACATGTGAGCAGAAATCAATATTCTCTACACTACACAGAGTGGACAGTGATAGTCTGCTAAAAGCAAGTACAGGACATAAAGGCTGTATGACTTGTTTGTTGTTTTCCTCTGAGCAGTGCTGTCTGTCCAGATTTCTACGTCGGAAAGGAGCCATGGAGTCCATCACATGACTGGTCCACATTTCAGGAGTGGCTTAAAGACAGAAGTCCAACAAACATAAACAAGTAACAAAAAGCCCATTTACACTTTATTAACCTGCTGATGTCCATGTTTTCCCTCATACCTGCAGGGCTATTTATTAATCTAGATTGATTTGGTGTGAGGTGCTGAGTGCTGGTGATATCGACCATAGAGATCTCTTCTCTTGAGTGTAATAGATCTAGATGGCACTCGGCTTGTGGTGCTCAAAGCATCAAAAAAATACATTTGACAAACTCAACAGCAATGTCTCTTTACAGAAAACACCTCAGAACTCTAAATATTCCACAGACCTTGTTGTGAGCAGTTTCATGTAGGAACTATTTTCTGCACCCATGAACTGCATCACCACGCAGAAGGAAGAGTGCATCTACTGCTAGCTCACCTGGCACCACTGCTCAGCTGAGGAGGACACCAATAATGTTTTAATCCCATGCCATCATGAGTACAAGCCTCTTGTCTATGAGTTGATGCACACTTTGTGGTGCCAAAATAGTGTATTTGATTTTGGGGTGACTGTCTCTTTAAGGATGTCTTGTCATTGTTTTCACCTTTATAGTCATTAAATGGGGCCATTTTTTCTGTCATCTGGTGTTTTGGAAGGCTTGCTGATAACATGCGTTCATTCTCTTCCTATACATATTCGTTTTAAGACATCTCGGTTACAATATTTCCTTTCTCCAGAGAGGTGGACACAGTGCTGAGGTTCCTCAAGGAGCAGTGCGGGGCCAAACACATTGGAGTAATCGGCTTCTGCTGGGGTGGGGTTGCCACACATTATATCGCCCTGCAGTATCCAGAAGTCAAAGCAGGAGTGTCATTCTATGGTATGTCGAAGGGTCAGTTTACTTATGTTACCTGTGGCAAAATGTGTGTATTAGAAATCAGCAATCCTTGTTTACAAGTTCTGTTCGGTTGCTGTACATTAGTTTAACGATGGGCTTGTGTGACACTGTGCAGGCATCATCCGTGAAAAAGAGGACAGGTACGAGCTGAAGGCTCCTACGCTGTTCATTTTTGGGGACAATGATCACTTTATCCCGCTGGATCAGGTTAGTGCACATTAACTTTGTAGCTTTCGTAAATGTATGATACAGGTACAATATTGTCTTTTCTGGTGGTATAACATGCCCGATGCTTCACTCTGGTACTGAAAATGGCATCCATAACTCAACATTTGTATGCCTTTATGTTAAAATGCAACAAACATCAAACATTTTTAAGTCAGAATGAAAGTCTTTAAAAAGTCATCATCTCTGCTGTAAAACCACTGACAACCATCCTTTTGCTCTGCAGGTGAATTCCCTTGAAGCAAAGCTGAGGGAGAAATGCACAGTGGATCACCAGGTGAAGATCTTTCCTGGTCAGACTCATGGCTTTGCCCACCGCAAGAGAGAGGACATCAACCCAGCTGACAAACCCAGTATCCTGGAGGCCAGAGCGGACATGCTCAACTGGCTCAACAAGTACATGTAACTGAAGTCAGGAGTCAGCACAGACAAACCTGAAAAGGTCAAATGTAAAATGTAGAGGTGCCTTTTCACAGCAAGCTGAGGGTGGGGTTTGTTTGATTGATGACATTCCAGTTGTTTCAGAAATATATGATCTTTTGAATGTCCAAATGTTCACGTATGAGGATTGATAATCATGTTACTGAAATGTGAATATTAATTGTGGAGCCAAAACTATTGAGCACTTTTGCCTTTTGCATTTTTTTATGCATCAACTTATAAAATTTTTGTGTAAATTCTCAACTTTTATAAAGACATGTAATAAACACCTAACGTGGAATACACACAGAAATATTAAAGGCCTGAAATCAGAGCGACAGAGCGTGGAACTTTCAACAGACCAACATTTTAATGGTGACTTTTGATACTACAACAGCTTGAACATTTTGTATCAAATGATAAATAGCAATATGCAGTGCGGTTTGGACATGATGCTCGGGGAAGTGCCTAAAACCTCTAGAACAGCTCAGAAATCTTCAAATGTTTCAGGAGGCCTTCAGTCTTCGCTCTCTCCCGGGCTGCGGATGTCATCAATCTTTAGGATCATCTTGACGACCTGTGTAGCCAGCAAGATCTGCTGCTTCTTGCCGATCAGGGTCTCGACCACGTGTTGCTGCTTCATGTCTGTGTAGGAGGAAACAAAAAAGCCATTAAATATCATGTTCGGCTTTGACGTTAAAGTGGTGTTAATATTGTGTGACAGTGGCGTCCTTACCATTGGTGTTGTTGTGCAGACAGTCGATGCCGAGGAAGGCGTTGTTCTCTCTGACCTGTCTGGCTCTGACCTCTGCCATCGTCTGGATTGGGTTCAGCCCGCTGTTCTCAGCCAGCGCCATTGGGATTACCTCCAGAGCATCGGCAAATGACCTCATGGCATACTGCTCCAATGATGGGCACTACAAAGGAGAGGAGCCGAAATAAAGACGATCAGAGCAGCAAGAAACTCAGAGCTTGCCATAAAGTGTCAGAAACATATTTACTCTAATTCTCAAGAAATACCAAATTTAATTTTGCTCAAGTCCAAAAGTATCTGTAGGTTTTAGTGCATCTCACCTTATCTGCAGCCTGGTTGACAGCCAGAGCACATGCAATCTCTGAAGCTCCTCCTCCATACACAACACGGTTGTCTTTGACCAGATTGCGTATTACACACAGAGCATCATGGAGAGCGCGCTTGGCCTCTTCAATGATCTAATGAGACAGATGAAATACAAAGTGAGCCAAGAGAAAGAGACAACATACACTCATATGTCAACTTTGGGGTGAAAGTCCCATCTGTGTTTACCATTTTGTTGCCTCCACGGATGAAAATGGTTACAGCTCTGGTGTTTTTGCACTCCTGGATAACCAGCATGCGATCCTTTGTGGTGCCGAAAGAGATCTCCTTCACTACACCAGCTGTACCAAGCTTCTCTGGTGTCAACTCAGAGAACCGCGGCACGATGCGGCCTCCTGTGGCTATGGCGATCAGCTGCAGAGAAAACAAGTGACATGGATAATTAGACAAATACTAAAGTGATTTGTAGTTTGTGTTCATCAGCAAAACAGCTCAGCATGGTCATAATATGTGAATACATGGTTTACTAAAGTGATGATGAGTGGAGAAGTATTTTCTTCATCCCTAACTTTACATCAAGGAGTACTATCACATAAAAAAATCCTCTCACCTCGATCTCAGGCCCTCCGACCCAGCGCACTGCTGGCAGCTCATTCTGCAGCAGAAGGTGGTTGGCTTCATCATCAAAGCCCCACTGGCAGATGGCCAAGTTAGCACCATTGCTTTTGACCTAAAAGAGAGATGCGAGTTTACATTTTAACATGTGCCAATGGAGACTTTAAAAATCCAGCTCTTAGCGCCTGAGATGCTGCAGCACGTACCTGTTGGATCATCTCCTCAAACTTCTCTTTTTCATATGTCTGGAGAGCTTTGTAGTCCTCCACAGAGGTCACATCCAACTTATGCTTGGTCTTCGGCTTAGGTGGCTCAAACGGGCAGGTAAGGATGGCAATTTTAGCATCTTTCAGAACCTGAGAGGCGACAAAGAATAATGGGTGTCAGCATCCTTATCCTACAGTGCTGCTGGCCACAGCATTGCAAAGCTACTAACAGTGTCCTTATGAGTTCCAGACTTTTAAAAGGCAAAGCCTAAATTATTTCCATCAAAAATGTTGAAATACTGGGATATTTTGTGATAGTTACACAGATGGAGGGCAGACACACATATTTCATTTGTCCTATGCACTGTTGACTGATTCCATGCTATCAAAGACAAAACCAGAGACAGAGCTGATGACATCATCCGGGAGTGATATTCCCCTTGTTCGTACCTTGGGCATCTGAGGGTGGCTGAACTCCTTGTCAACTATGACTCCCTTGATGAGCTGTGTGTCCTCCAGCTTGCCTCCCACTTTGCCCTCCATCTTGATGAGCTCAAAGTCTACATCCTTCCTCTCCATGTCGGCCACAGTGAGGATGGCATTCACTGCGATCTCTGCCATCTGCCTGTGACACCGGTTGATACTGAAAGACAACAGTAGAACTTAGAGATGCAATATCTAAGCTGATGTCACACAGTACAGTTATTACTATATATGGTCTCCTGTCATGGCAGAAATATATGATAAGGAAATGTAGCTTCTGAGTAACTTACATTTTGGATCCCAGCGTTGTCATGGCTGTCTCAATGAGTGGCTCTGTGTTGTTGACATCGCAGGGTAAGGTTTCAGCAATTTTGTCGAGCTGCTCGATGGCAATGCGTGCGGCCTGGTCATAACCGTCGGAGATCCTGATGGGGTGGATTCCACGGTCCAGCAGCTGCTCAGCCTGTTCAAGCAGAGCCCCAGCCAGCACTGAGGAGAATAAGGAAAATACAGTAGGGTAGTAATACCAACGATTGCTGGAATATACTTAAAAGATGTCAGGTTGCCTTGATCAGAGCTGCAATAATTTAGTTGTTGTCAAATACACTATGTAAACATGCTTTAGCATACTGCTAATGCACACCGTTTTGTTCAATATAGTTCCAGGATGCTTTGAGGTCTTGGTGCAATGATACAGCCAACATAATATACATCAAGACATAGAGACGGTGTTAACAGAAAGTCATGAATGTGATCAGAGATACTTAATTGATTCCCGGGGGAAACTGTGATTTGTTACAGTCATTCCGATGTAAAGAAAAGAGTAAGTGTATGAAATCGAAGTGTGTAAATTTAAAGAAATAAAAATGTGCATTAAGCTACAATGTATAACACTAGTACTAAAGATATTAAGAATAAATATATATATCTTCACTGTGCTGAGTCTGGAAGTGTGCAAAAATATACAAATATGTGCACTGTGCTGCATTACACTGTATTAACTAGTGTTACATTAAGAAATATAAAACATGTATCATGCTACGTTGGTTAACACAATATATACATCACTAGAATAAAAACAAGAATAAGAATAAACATAAGAATCATCTACAGTTATGTGCATTGTATACTGTATAAATATATACATTCAAAAAGGTGTTGGTGAGAGTAAAGTTGTATACTGAAGAATATTGCACGGTTGAATAATTGCACACATTACTGCACTGTAAAAAACAATTGTACCATCAGTCACAATTGCACCGTATAAACATAATAAATAATTATGAATCATAAATGCAAATACGTGTATTTAGGCCAGACAAGTCCAGAGAGGACCCAATAATCTCTCCTCTACAGTAACAATTATTGTCTCCTTTCCAGTAACATCCATCCAGGGTGGCATGATGTCATTATGATAATCCCAAATCAATCCCTATGCCTTATGCATCTACATTAGGACCTCCTGCACACCTAGCCTAATGGTATAAATCCACCTTTACAGCCAAATCACTCTAGATCCCTCATCTTTCTTTCCCTTACCAACAACTCCAGTGGTTCCATCACCAATCTCATCATCCTGGGATTTGGAGAGCTCCACCATAAGCTTGGCAATCTGGTGGTCCACATCCATCATGCTGAGAATAGTGGCTCCATCGTTGGTTACAGTCACCTCTCCATCCCTGTCAACCATCATCTTGTCAAGACCTGCACGCAAAAATGGAGAACAGTGATTTAGGGGAAGTGTGATGAGAAAAAGCTGTCACAACTGTATGAGAAAGGGATACCAAATTTACAAAGTCTCTTTATTTTAAGCATCTATACGCTGTGTGTGAGGGATGAGGGAGTCAGATGTGACCACACTGCATTCATTTGTACTCACCATTGGGTCCCAAAGATGTCTTGAGAGTTGACGCGACAGCCTTGGCTGCCATAATATGAGACTGCAAAACACAAACACAATTCACAATGTCATCTCACATTTTAGATAAAATCTCTTTATTGGTCTATATCCTAAAACAGATTGAGGTTGACATCTACAAGAATGAGTTCAAATTTTCATATGGCGAAGATGTGCATCAATAATGGCCATTTTTGGGCACAGCCCTGCCTAACAACACCCACCGGCTAAACGCTATACGGAAAGCACATGGGCCTTGATGCTAGCATGACTAGCTAATCCTTTGGATAATGCTATCCTGTTGCTATTGCACCAACAGCTCAGCTTGTCAGTCACGTATATGATTGTAAATCATAACCCTATATATCTACACGCATATGGTGTTGGCTTAACGTAACCAACGTCATGCAACTAAAAGCAAAGTAGCATCTTGCTAACTGCCATGCCGCATTTTCCCGTTAGCTAGCCCATTGTACCTTCAGTGCGTCAATGCCCGATAACCGTGTCTTCTTGTCCTGGTCTTTAATTATGATGAAAGGCCTTCCATACTCATCGAAAGCAAGTGTCCCCAAAGCGGACATGTTGACTGAGGGATTGGGACACCTAGTAAGTGTTCACGGGGTAAAATAAGAGGTTTTTACGATGGAAATCTGGAGTGTGGCTGAAGTGCAAGCCGCACGGGTCTGCCGGCGACTTCTGGAAGGATCCACGGGCGGGGAGGGCGGAACCAAGTAGCCTTAAGTCGGTCTTATTACAGATTTAAATACACATTTACATAAAATGACAACAATAACTAACGAAATGTTTTGAAATTAGTTTAAAAGCCAAACACAAGCTTTTCAGAAAGAATACTTTCGGTTAAGAACTAAAAACATCTTTTCTTGTGATATGGTTTCTTCCGACACGTCAAACTCCCTGATCTCGCGAGAATGCCAGATATGTTATAATTCATGAGAGTGACTGAACTGAGGGGTTTTTAGCAGCTGTTATATAAAGGTAAAAAAACATTTTCTCGGAGATTTTCACACAGCATTTCCACTTGCTCCTAAACGTACAGTACTTATATTTAATAATATCTGAACTTAGTTTTAAATAGGCTGAGTTTAGCTCGAAAATACACACTATCCAGGGAACAGAAGTTGACATACGGCTTGTCTTCAGTGTGTCGGAGATGGCAGTTATTAGCTGCTAACATTTAACGTTAGCTAACACATTCCTTTTTTATTTGAGCATTAGATATGTTAAGATGAATAAATTGCTTGAATTCACGTGCACTTGGGTAATGCTACGTTAGGAACAGACGCATCGTCCGGGTACTATATGGTGGTGTTAAGAACTGTTGTGGTCCGCAGCGTTGCGAAGGAATTTCTGTGGCAGCTGTCAGAAGTTGGAGTATGTCGGTAAGATGGGATAGCTTTAAAACACAGCTGGACAACTCAATATTTACTTTTTAAATCACCTTAATTGTTGTTATATTGATTTAGTCCAGCTCTGTATTGTTTACACCGTCGTGTGTGTTGCACCTTTCTTTCAGGGCCTCTCAAATAACTGTTCATTAATGTGTTTTAGGAGAGTCAGGGCCTTACAAGGGATTAGGAATACATGGCTGCTTTTGAATTAGCACCAATGTAAATTTGACTCATAAGACTACCTTAATACGTTAGGTATATAAGGTGTGGTAGTAAACACAGTATAAGCAATGATTTAATACATCTGCAACAATATTTTGGCAGCATGTCAAGGCACATATGGCTGAATTCCATGTAGCTGGTTCAGTTTCAGGGTCCTGGTACTGTGTATGCATAGTTTACTGGGACATTTGAATACAACAAAGCCATCTTCAATGATATTAGTAATATCACCTGTGCTTTTCTTACTATGACAAGTCAAATTTGTGAAAAAAAAAAAAAAAAATCTGCGTTTACGTACTCCACCCACCTAAACATTGTATCCCAACTGATTGCAACAGTACCCCGGATGACGGTAGCCCCTCAGCAAGACAATGTACCATGCCACACTGCAAAAACTGCTCAGGAATGGTCCAAGGAACGTGACAAATAGCTCAAGCCATAGACCTAGCTTTCAGTTCCCCAGATCCTTATCTGATCAAGCATCTGTGGGACAAACCAGTACCTCAGAGGTGCTTTGTCCAGGCCTCGACAGGTCAGAGCCAAGTCCGAACTACAGTGGAGCTCTGACCTGTCGAGGCCTGGAGACAGGACCTCTGGGGGTGTCCTGTGTTTTCTGGCACCAAAGCGTTGTCAACAGATCATTTGAGTCCTCTGGGTTGCAAGGGGAATTTGAAAACCAGGTTGATGCCTTGAACTCTTAGTCACATCCCAGGGGTCATTCCTGAGCAGTTTTTGTAGTGTGGCATGGTGTATTGTCCTGCCTGAGAGGGGGGTGCACTGCCATCAGGGAGTGCCATTGCCATGAGGGGGTGTATTGGTTTGTAATGGTGTTTGGGTGGGTGCTGCGTGTCAAGTGGCACCTGCATGAATAGCAGGAGCCAAGGTTCCTCAGAAGAGCATTGTATTGTAACAAAATGATCAATGTTATTCACTTCACCAGTCAGTGGTTTGAATGTTTTGGCCGATCGGTGTATGTGCATCAACAAATCACGTTGTTTCCTATATTCTCTAGCATGCCCAGTCAAGCGAAGCCTCGGTTTGTGATTCTCTACGGGTCTCAAAAGGGCCAGGCTGAGTCTCTAGCAGAAGGAGTAGCCGAGGCGGCAGAGGAGCAAGGACTTGTTGCTGAGCTCAGTTGCTTGAATCAGAATGAGAAGGTAGCGTTGCACATTATAAGCTTTATATTTAAAACTTGATCTAGCTCATGGCTGCTGGCACACAATAACACATCAATAATATCTTCATGTATGTTTTGCCTGATGGTTTTGTGGATATTAATTTGAGTTTTCACGTTGATTAGTGGAAACACCACTCACTGATTAATCATATAACTGGTTCCAGTACAATTTAGAGAAGGAGCATGCCCCAGTGATCTTTATTGTGTCTACTACTGGAGACGGGGAACCGCCAGACAATGCCCTGCAATTTGTAAAGCGCATCAAGAACAAGGCCCTCTCCGCTGACCACTATAAACACCTTTGCTATGCACTTTTAGGTAAATTCTATGATGAAAGTCTGAGGTAGCTTTTCTTTAATAGCCCATATGTGAATATGGGGAGCTTGATATGCAAAACATATTTGTGTAAATCATTATGATGCAGAGCACTGCATTGTGTTTACTTTCTGAGCAGTTGCTGGCTTGAGAAATCTTCATCTGTTTTCCTCTGTCTGCTTCAGCTTTAGGAGACACAAATTATGCAAATTTCTGCAACTGCGGGAAGACAATTGAGCGTCGTCTACAGGAACTTGGAGCCAAACAGTTTTACCCGACAGGATATGCAGATGATGGTGTAGGGTAAGTTTTGCAGTATAGACATCCAACTTTCAGCATTTGACTTTTGAGCCAACCATTCTCTTTCTTTCTTATTTATTTATTACACTGCTGTGTGTAATTTGTTCTCTCCAGGCTGGATGTGGTTGTGGACCCTTGGATTGAAGGACTGTGGAAAGCAATCAAAGAAGCCTTATCCAAAATGGCTTCTGATAGGACTGGTTGCTTCAAAGGAGAAGCAGGGGATTCACCAAAGAAAACTCCTGATTCATCCATACCAGATGTCCAACTAAACCTCTTGAGCATAACTGACCACCAGAACTGCGAGTCGACCAGAGCGTCTGTAGAAACGGTTTCCAAATCTCCAACCGCTGCTTCATCTTCAGCTTCTGCTACACAGACTGCCGTTTCTGATCTTAGCCCAGCTTTTCCTGCAGGGAGCCCTGGGTTGGCATCCCAGTCTCATGATACTGCCAGTGTGTCTACATCAGCACAGGAGACACAGAACGGGGACACTGGAGTTCCCCATGTTGCATTGGCAGCCTCACTGATGCGCTCGCTGCCCCCACTTTCTGAGTCCTCTCTTAATGTTCCTGCTCTGCCTCCTCCCTACCTCGATGTTTGTCTTCAGGAGGCGGATGCTGTGGAACAGGTGAGGAATGACGAAGCTGATAAAACCAGTATTTGTGCCATATTTCACCTTTCATCTCATAGATGTTTTCCTTCAGGTTGTTGGACCGTTAATCAAAGAGACTCTCCATGAGGTTCCCGTATCTAAGGCTGTTCAGCTGGCCAGAGGAGATTCAGTGAAGACGGCTCTTCTCTTAGAGCTCGACATCTCTGTAAACTTCACAGAATAATGTTTATTTCTGAACATTTTCTTGACCTGCAGTATTTAGATTTAGATGCAGTTGGAGTTAAGAGCTTCTTTTTCATTCTTAGGCTCATCAAATGATGACGTATCAGCCCGGGGATTCGTTTGATGTCTTCTGTCCAAATCAGGCAGCTGAGGTGGAGGACTTGCTCCACAGATTGGGCCTTCATGACCAGAGGAACCATCAAGTACACATTTCTCTGCATAAAGACACTAAGAAAAAAGGTAAAGTGTGCTGGTCAGATTGTTTTAATATACATCCAGTGTACTCCTGACATTGTAACACAGTATTACAATTATCAACACAGCACTGACAACAGAGTATCTTAACAGTGACGGCACATTACAGACTTTGCATTTTAAAAGATCTATATCTATCTATAATGATTTCCACATGTTCTTTCCTCCCTGATTATAGGTGCCATGGTGCCACCCTACATTTCCCCGAACATTTCTCTGCTGTCCCTGCTCACATGGTGTGTAGAGATCAGAAGCGTCCCTAAGAAGGTACTGTGTGTGCAGACGTTTCTCTGCAGCTACTTACTTTGCAAATTGCATTGGCCCGGCCGCCTTTGGATGTGGCCCACTAAAACAACAAGTAGGATATCAGCATAATAAGAGGGAAGACATTTTTTAAGTGTCATGTTTTCTCCAGCGAGAGCACACTGCTTTTATCGCTGTTGTCAAAGCTCAGAGAAAAGTGTATTATATTTTATGAAGAAGTGCAATTATATTTGACACAGATGTTCCTATTTATTTTAGGACGATTTACTCGCTGAACTGGCCCACTTGTCAACCACAGCACCCTTTTTCAGTGGTGAACTGATGCAGAAATGTTGGAGGGCCTTTGGGGCAACAGCTGTTATTTGGGGGACAGGGGGACATTTACTGTGGAGCCAATGAGCTTTGCGAGGACACAAACGCACAGGGTCAGTTTGGATCAGGGGTTAATGGTCAATTCTGACTCAAAAGCACACTGCTACATTTTTGCACTGTTCTCTGTTCAGTACCTTCTCCTATGAAGAAGTACAATTATATATGACACAGACGTTCCCACTTATTTTAGGAGGATTTACTGACTGAACAGGCATGAGTACCAAAATAGTCTATGCCAGGACAGGGTCTGGACCAAGACGATTTGCTTAGGTTCAAAGTTTGGTTTGAAAAGCTCAGGCATGACTGGATTTCTTACGAGAGTAGATAGCCTCAAAGAATACTTAAACTTGCCTGGGCCATTAAAGGACTATTTCACTCTCAAAATGAACATTTGTGAATCAATTAGTAATGCAGTGTTACCTTGAAGTGAAGAAAACAGTCTTTTTCTCACATGCCTGCATGGAAAACGACAAACATATTGATTTATTGACTGATTTAGAGCCAGAAACATCCGTTTACAACCTCTGACACAACTTGTGCAGTATAATCCAAGTCTCATTTATTCA